CTCTCCACTTGAAGGGTGGGTCGCTTGTTCACCCACCTTCGAGAGTTGGCGGGGCGCGTCTTCGGGGGGGCCAGAAATGGCCATCCATTCTCGACCAGGTCCAATAGCTCTTCCCTGCCGACTGGGTAAACCTTTGGGTTGGGCTCCCGACCATGGGGTTCCCAGCGTTCTTTGGGGAGGGAGCTCTCCCCGGTGGCGGGAACCCCCCAAAGCCCGCTGGAATGGCGCGTTGCATGGCATGAGGGCTTTAGGGTTGCTCTGGTTCGATACTGCACGGCTCGATCCGGTGGTGCGCCCGCTGGCAGAGGACGATGCCCGGGCCTGGCGTGCGTGTGTCGCGCTGTTCGAACGACCCCTGATGGGGTCGACATCGCGCCCAGCCATGGCGCCGCCGGCGACGAGCCGCAGGAGGCTGGCCGTGACACCTGACGGTTTGCGGGGCGAAGGCGCGACGGAGCTGATGCTCGAGGCTCTGCTCGCGCTTCGGAGAGAGGTCGTGTCCGGGGGTGGGTTGAAGAGATCATCCTGGAGACCAGGCCTGCGGTCAGCATGGGACTGTGTGCGAACGATCGTCTTGGATCGCGGATCGTCGCCGTTGATGCTGCTGGCAACGCTTCCCCTCTTGCTACCACCCCAGAGGAAATCCTTCCACCCACGGGTGGTGCCCTTGTTGGTGCCAGGATCGGCGTTTGAGGCCAGGGAGAGGCTCGTTGCCCGTATGGTCCCTTCGTATCGGTCTGGCCATAGACGTTCTGAGTCACGGTATCCTGCATGGCATCGCTCATGAGGTCGGACAAGCCGCTCTCGGCTCGGTGGTTGCCTGGTCTGCTTGTTTTATTTTCTGTTTCGACGGCCCTCAGTTTCGTTTCAAGCTCTAGATTCGACAAACCACATTCCAATATGATCTTTCGCAGAGCTCTCTCCCTTTCGTCGGCTTTTCTTCGCAGGAGGGCAATCTGCGCATCTCGGTGCGCCAGGTCGGTGGCAATCATGCGTACCAGCTCCTTTGCTCCATGTCGCTTCACGAGACGATCGAGGTGCTCGTCATCGGCCGTATGGAGCGCGCCGGGTATTTTCTGCGTTGCGATGGGCGAGTCCTCGAAGAGGGCAGAGCGCGCAGATTGCGATGGCCTCGTCGGCAGCGCTGGCGGCGCCGTCACGTCGCCCTCTGTCAAGGTATCATCTGGTAGGCTCAAAGGTGCATCCGACTCGGCAACAGACACGGCGCCTGATGCGGTGCGCGGCGCGCCAGCATAGGCAGTAGGCTCCTGGTCTGCGAAAGGTCGCACTGGTTTGGGCGACTCGGGCGAAAGCGAGGGAAAGCTGGTCAGAGACTTGTCGTCGGCGGCGATGATGGAGCTGGCCGAGCTCGAGACGTGGGACGGAAGGCGCTTGGAGCGGGTCCGGAGGGTCGTGGACCGACTGCTGCTGCGTACTGACGCGACGCTAACGCTGCGCTGGGATATGGAGCGCTCGAGAGGGAGTGATGGAGGTGTCGGCGTTCTTGTTCGTGGTGATGCTGCTGCGACTGCTACTGCCGGCATTGTAGGCGTTGCTTGGGCTGGCGTCGGGGTCGAGGCGTCGTCGTCCATTGTGAGAGGCGGGCGGCGGCAAGCGCCTTGTTCTTCATGATCTGACGGGCGCAGTCTTGATAAAGCGCAATCTTGAAGGAAGAAGCGAACGAAAAGTCAAGAGAGTTCAGTGCTTGGTGGTGATGCAGCCAAGAAGGCAAGAAGAGGAGGCGTTGATGGTGGTGATTCCCCCTGTGATGATTGGGGGGTAAATGGGATGGGGATTTGGGATTGGGCTTGGGGCTTGGGTTAGGTTAGGTTTGGACGGCAATCCAGACAAGGTTGTTCATGCAGATGGCAGCAAGGCTGCAGCAGAAATTACAGGGGGACAGAGCAACCGAGGAAATCCGTGACCAGGGCAAGAGCAGTGCAGTTCGGTGGGCAAGCATGGGCCGCTTGCCCGGCCGCAACTTCCTCTTCCCGACAGAGACAGTGGTCCAGGCGTTCAGGGCTCATACTACATGTAAGGTACCTAAGCAAGCTAAACAGGTACCTAGCTACACACTCGCGGCGCTGGCACCGACCTTCCCTTCCCTTCCTCCCTACCTTCCCTTTGATGAGATCACGACCATATCACATTTCGTCCTCCTCCTCCCTTCCTCACTTCATCTACCACACACCCCACTCCATCCATCACCATTCCGTGCATCTCCATACCGAGAGATTGGATTCCGCCCCTTCGACGAGCAGCAAGAGACGATAGAGAAATTGGGACATGGAGGGCCCGCCCAAACTATCAAGGTCGCTGATCCCCTGCTTCTGCCCGGCCGGGGCGGCTGCACCCGCACGCCGTCCTTTGTCCTCTTCGGGAACCAGAAGACACCATTCCACATTGATCCTCGGACCTCTCACACAGATCAATCCAGGGCGACAGGGAGCAACACTGCAGCAAACAAACGTGTGACTCTGCTCATACACTACCAGAAAATTCGATGCATGAACTCATTAACCCTGACTCGTCATGTCCGCCTCCTCGGAGCCATTCACATCCTGGCATGCCCAAAATTCCAACGCCACGCCGAGACTCCCCAATTGGAGCATCCCGCCCCTTTGTTTTCTGTGTTGTACACCCGTCCCACAATTCATCGTCCACCTGGTCCCCGGAAGGCAAAGTCAGGGAGGGAGGAAGAGGAAGAGGAAGAAAAAAAAAAAAAGTAGAATCACCCTAGCGCCATCATGCTAACGACCCCTGAACAGGCCTAGATACGCCACTCAGGCAAAGCTGTCTTCCGCATTCCATCGACTGCTGTCATCACTGCATTTAGCAGCCTCTGCCTGCTCGTGCGGTCTGGCTTGCTGCTCTCCGCCCTTGCGCGTCGGCCCCAAAGCCCCCGTTTCTTCGGACTGCTGCTGCTGCCCCGGTAGGAGACCCTCCTTCACTAGCATCTCGTACGCTGCATCCCTGGCCAGCGCCTCCCTGCGCTTGACGGGCAGCCCGTCCAGCTCTTTCAGCCGAGCGCAGCACCCGACAAACACCACCTGGTACAGACGGCGCCGCAGTCGTGTCGCTTGGTCCAGTCGGCCCGCGAAAAGTGCGTCCCGCTCGGCATCTGCCTCGGGCAGCATGAAAGGATCCACATACCCCGTGCGATCCACAGGCACCATGCCTTGCAGTGGCGCGTAGAAGCCCTGTGTCATCGGATTGTCCCGCAGATCCAGCTTGCTGAGGTGCGGGAACTCGGTCACCACCTCCGTTACTTGCGTCGAGTTGGCCAGTCGGTTGCCGGCCATGAGCAATTTCTTCAACCGCGGAATGAATCGCAGCGGGCTGATATCCGCAATGGCGTTGAAATTGAGGTTCAGCGATCGCAAGTTCGGCATCAGTTGGCCAAGATTCTCCGGGAGTGACTGCAGCCCGCAGTTTGCCAGCTCAAGAAGCTGCAGATTGAGGAAATCGACCTGCGGCTCGAATTGACCAATGTAGTTGCCCGACAGGAAAAGTTTGCGCACCTCATAGGCGGCTGACAGGAACGCTAGCTCGAGAGGCTCGTCGCCGCGCTGCTCTCTGAGCGATATGCTGTCTAGATACCTTGCACGCGCGAAACCAGTGATTCTGCTAATGCGGTTCCTATCAGCGTGCAGCACGCGCAGGCAAGGCATGGAGCTGATGTCGAGCGATGCCACATCGTTGTCCCCAATGTCGAGATGCCGAAGGCATGGCAGTGGCCCTTCGTTGTTCAAGTCCACAAGCTGGTTGCGCTGCACCTTGAGAGTCTCCAGCGACGGGAGTTGTTCCCAGTTGCGAATCGACTGGATCTTGTTGCCGCACAGGTCCAGCTCTGCCAACCGGTCAAGCTTGGTGCCGTCAAAATCGAGCTCCTCGATCAGGTTGTCCCGCGCTCGCAGCGACAGGAGTCCGTCGTGGAAGTGGAAACCGTCCAGCGATGTCAGCTTATTGTTATCCGCGCGGACGCCTCGCAGGTGAACGAGGTTGCTGAGGCCAGCCAGGCTGCGCAGCTCATTGTTTGACACGTCAATGTACTGTAGATTTGACAGATGGTCCCAGGAAGTCAGCTCCGTCAACAGGTTGCTGGACGCCTTGAGGTGGCGAACCGTCGAGGGCACGCCATCAAGATGTGACAGTGCGTTGGTCGAGGCGTCCAGTGACACCAGTCGCCCGCAAAACTCATCCAGCATGTGCAGGCTCGATAACCGTTTGTCGCTGACGTCCAGTTCCATAAAGTCGTCCCAGTTGGCCTCGAAAGGCTCCACCTCGGTCAGTCGGTCGACAAGGTCGCGGACCGTCATGGACAGCACTTTCTTAGAACCATCACCTGTGACCAAGTGTCGGTCCTGCACCAGGTAGCTAACCTCCAGCCCGAATGATTGGTCCTGATTGTTCATTGTGAACTCGGACAGAGGGCTGAGAGACAGGTTGCCGACGTTTTGGCTGATGATGGCTCCGGCACCGTTGTGAGCGGCGGGCGTTGACACCACGAAGCTGAGGTTCGTCTGGCGATCCTGGTGGCTGACGACACTTGCGTCAGCGAGGATGCTGATCTGTCTGCTCTCGGCATGTGCACGCTCGTTCTGGCTGTCTTCATCCTGTTCGTCGATGCGAGACACTGGACGCGGCGTGAAGGCTTGTCCTTGAACCGCGAGGTTTCGAGAGGCCCTGCGCGTGCTATTCTTGGATCGAGCCAGCAACTTCTTGCGCGCATTCTTCGTGAGACTGCGATACTGGTTATCGGCCTGTTGCTCAACCCATGATCCACCTTCGGCGTGCGAGATGCTGCCCGTGTCGTCCTCGAGACTGTCAAGGTCCTCGGGAACCACGTCGTGAATGATGGATGCAATAGGCGAAGAGAAGGAAATGGTCAGGTTCTTCCTCGACGGCGACACGCGGTTGCGGTCTTCGACGCGCATCTCCTCCTCGTAGTCGTCGCGATCGCTTGTTGGGCTGTTGACCATGCTCTCGAGCTTTGTGAGCTCCTCCTGCGCCTGGGGGGACATGCCCTCAGGTATCGCACCGTTCGGTGACAGGGTGACGTAGCTCTTGCTGCGTTGGGTGCTCGGCGTGCGTGAATAGTCTCCAGAGGACTCGTTCTCGTCGCCACTGAGGATCTGCTGCGAGGGGTTCAGACGCAGGTTCTCCATCTCCCTCGTCATGTCAACGGTCAGGTCGGGGATGCTCGCAAATGGGTCATCCTCGCTGTCTTCGGAAGGCAGAATGTTGTGGATGCGGACAGACTCGGCCCTGCGTTTGACCCAGATATTTTGCTGTTTGTCGAGATACATGCCCGCGACAGACTCAGGAAGCAGATGAACGACGCTCGCTGGCAGAATGGTCTTCTTGGACTCAGAACCCCGTGATGAGCCGGTGGGGATGCTCTTTGTCGAGCCATCCGAGATATTGGATGGGTAGTCTGGTCCGATTGCGTCTTGGTCCGCGGCTGGTCCGCGGCTGATTCGAATGTTAGGCGGGTCGCTGATGATGTCTTCCAAAGAATCAAGGTCGTCGGGATAGGAAACGTCCTGGCCCGCTTGAACCATCTTCTCCACTTCTTGGGCGGCACGGATAGCATCCTGGGCCAGACCCATAGACCGCAAAGACGAGGAGATGACATCGCCCATGTCACTGAGCTCCTGATATTTCTTCAGGTAATCCAGCACTTCGGGATTCTCCTGGCGAGGCGGAACCCTCGTCACCGGCTTGCCGTCGCGGCTTGGTGGCCGGGAAAGAGGCTCCCTTGTTGACTCCTCAAACGACACGTCCTGGATATCAGGACTTGGACTGGCATAGTCGCCTTCTTCTGACTCCTCCACGCTGTCAAGTCCGTTCGGGGGTTTGATTCCGCTGCGAATCATCGCCATGATGGCACCAGCCTGCTCGACAAAGTCCTGCGTCTTGATGGATGGCTTGCGATCAGTTTCAGTGCTTTCATTCCGTTCCATCGAGCCATTCGCCAGCTGCGAGCTGCGCTTTGGAGAATATTGCGACTGCGACTGTGATTGCTCCTGAGGCTGGATCTCAGAGCTCGGGTGTCTTTCGCGCTGCACTGAAGATCGCTGACTAGGCGTTGGCGTACGTGGCCGGCTCATGTGTCGGGCGGCGAGGACGTCAGGGTGGGCCAGCTGCTGGAACCCGCCTGAACGAACCTCCTGGCGCTTACCCATCATGGATTGCATGTACCAATGCGAATCCTGCACCGTTTCAAAGCGCGGCGAGCTGCTCGTGGCCGTAGGCTACATCGGACTTGTGGAGAGTACGTCTTCGCTTGGGGGTGGGATCCTTGGTGGGCGACGTCCGAGGCCGCTTGCCTTCGGAGCCGCTGTCTCGCTTGGGCGTTGCCAGCATCGGTGGGCCCGGTCTGCTGCTGGGCCGGCTGCTGTCGTGATACTGAACGCTGACGCGACTGGAAAAGGAGACTGTTCTGTTGTTTCTTGAGGATGATGGCGTCACACCCTGTTGCCGCCGTTTGTTTGGGATGATGAGGGGTACATCGCCTTGCGGAGATGTAGGCTCAAGATTTAACTTCATGTTGCAGCTAGATGTTACAGGCACACTGACATGGCTTTCATCCTCTTCCGAGGTTGCACCATCAGATCGGAGTGACACATCGCCGAATTTATAACCCTGCAATCGCCTCGGCCGAACTGGCTGACTGATCGACCGCTTGGCATGAATTGGGAGGGTTTGGGTTGTGGCGGGCTGGAGGGTGCCCCCAGACTCTGGCTATAAGCCTGTATTTCTTCTCCCTTTCCTCAGATAGCCCGGATTCGTTTGACGAGTTGTCTTCAAACTGGCTGATGCGGCGTAGGAAGAGTCTGGTTAGTGAACGTGTCGTATGGCCCGAAGAGCTTGAGCGGGCTTCCGCCGTTGGACTGAGGGTTGGTGTCCTGTTTCTCGGGACTCGGAAAGGGTGCGCGAAGCTGAGGCGGCGTCTCAGACGCGAAACGATGGCTGCCGAAGCCTTCCTCGTTAATGCGGATGGTGGGGAATTGCTTGGGGGTGCTAGCTTGCAGCGAGTCCTCCGGGAGCATGTCAGACGTGTCTCCAGACATGCCTGGGCTGAGAAGGCGATGTCGGAAAGATCCCTCAGCAGATCGACCGCCACGCCGAGTGTTCAAGAAACCACCCTGTCGCGCAAATTCATCAGTGTCATCAGTGTCTTCAGACCTCCCGAGATGCCTCTCTGAGGTCGCTGAAGTCGAGCTCTCCCTCGGCGTACGAGTCCCAGCAGCATCTGGTTGATGCGCAATTTTTCCAAACGATTCTTTAGCTGATCGGCCGGTACTTCGACAGGCGCAAAGTCAACCTGGCCGACATTGCCGACCTGCTTCGTGAGCATGATGGGGCTGAAGTCCTCATTACGAACAACGCTCTGTCCGCTGGTTTTCCTTGACGCATCGGTCGGCGGCGCAAGACCATTGGCAGATGCTACGCGCACCGGTAGGCTCTCTTCAGCTATTGAGTCAGCCTGTTGGCTGTGTCCTTGTGTGCTATAGCCGTCGAGGCTGCTCGCATCATACGACTCATCGACCATTTTGTATGTCATTTCACGAGGCTTTCGTGGGCTGGGGCTGGGGCTCCCCTCGACCGCATGCACGACGCTACCTTCTTCGTCGTCATCATCGTCATATACTGGTGTAGTAGGTTCGGCAGGGCGATAGATAGGTGGGCTGGAAGGCATGCCCGAGTGCTGTCGACTGTCATCGACGACAGAGCCTTCTTGTGGTGGGGGGGGAGGCTTGAACATATTCTCTAGCCCGGTAGCCGCGGATTGGAAAAGATCTTGCTGCTCGCCGTAGGGCACCTCCCCATACACTAGACGTCGCTTCCATTCTGGCGTGTGGCCCTTTTTGTTGGGTGATGCGCTGACCGATCGGTGGTTTACCGTGTTATGAACCACAGACCCGGTGGTCGAGGCAGAAAACGTTCGGCTCGCATAGCGGCTATCGGGACCGGCGTCGATCTCGTTAGAGAGTTTGGAGGGTTTGCGCGCAGAGGAGGGAAGATTCCTCTCGTTGGTGCTGCGCTCGCTGAGGATAGTGAAGCTGCCGTCATTGGCATTGGCTGTCGGCGCCGTCTTCATGGGCAGTGGCAACCTGCTAGTCGGAGCCGTTCCATGGGCAACCGCGCTGTTCTCGTTTGAATTAAGTGGAGGGAGTTGAGGGGGCGGCGAGGCATCTGAGCCCGGTTGCGAGGGCCAGTCCTCGGAAAGAGAGTCGAGCCACGCGTGCGCCATGGCTGGTTCGGGAGAGAAGATGGGGATGTCGGTTATAATTTGTTCATGAGGATCGTTTCGCGTGTCGTCGTAGTAGGGAGAGAACGTGTCAAGCGACTTGGAGTCGCGTCGTGGTCATGTGGCAGTCGTGTAGGAGAAAAAAGAACTGATGCAGATAGTGCAGAGTGCGCGTCAATACAGCCAATGCAGATCTTAAAAACACAACTGCTGGGCAAAGAACTGAAGAGTATCGAGAAGTGCTGTTGGTTAGTATCGACGCCACGCTGCCGCTGCGCAACACCGAAAATCTGCAATCTGCAATCTGCAGTGAAGCTCTGGCACGCGAATGTGACAAGAAATGAAGATGGTTGAGGGATGCGCCTGGTCCTGGCGGCTTGTGACGTGAAGGTGGGATAAACAAGACGTCGCTGGTGATTGGGGGCAAGGGTGCCGTTGCTGCGTCAACAATCCTACCTTGTGTGGGGGCAAGGGGCTGTCAGATGTAGCTCACCGGGGCCTCACCGACCTGCCGTGGAAGCCCATTAAACGCGCTATCACGTGTGGACGCGGGGCGCGCGTCTCCCCGTGAACGTGCACTGGCGTCGTGGTTGCATCTCCCTCCACCACGGACAGTATTGCATGCCTCACCTTTCGAACCCCTGTTGCGTCCTCGTTCTGTTTGCGACATTCCATCCATGTGCCCCTTTTGGCTCTGTCATTGCACTTGACATAGCCCTGGCCGCATGGTCCTTGACACGGCTCGTCAATCAGCTCGTCAATGGTCATCTAGACTCTAGAGGGGCCCTGACGACATGGCGGCTGCTGTCCCGCGATATCGTCGCATTGGCGATGAGCCCCTGTACTGCGAAGCCGACCCCACTGAGGCCCTTCATACAGGATCCGACGACGAAGACTACCCCAACCCCTCTGTTCGGAAGTACAAGTACGAAGCTGCCGCCGTGAGGTTTCTAGAGGGCAAGAAGACCTTCATCCTATCAGCAACCCTGCGCGGCCCCTTTGACGAAGCATCAGGCTGGACCAATCCTTGGCGATCCAAAGGCCGCTCCAAGAGTCGTTCGACCTCTTCACACACACCGGGTAGTGGTGCATCCTACTCCGGCATCTCGCACTCCGTAGCCAAGCTGCGTTCGATACGCCACTCTATAGAGGATTCCTTCACTCAAAAGGCCACAGCCCACGCAAGTTCTTCCTGTCACCTACCGAGTCCGGAGAGTCTAGATCGAGCTATACAACACCCATACCTTGACGAAGATGAGCTGGTCAAGCTCGAAAGCTGGAGGAGCAGGGTCGGCCCGGCTAAACCATCTATCGACAGATTTTGGGCGCCTCACCAAGTTTCCTTCGACTCGACCATGCTCCGCAAGCGACGTGCCCAGGACCCCGGCTGGCTCAAGAGGAGAGCCCCCAAGCGCCATCGTACTGACGGTGACATTGACGATCTCGACGACCTTGACACTGCGTCCATATTAGTGCAAGGCTTCGGCATGAGCCAAAATATACATCAGCCTATTCTTCCACCACCTGAGGCTGACGTCGAGGACGAACTCAATAACGACATGATGCACAGTTTTGAGAACCACTTTTCACCGGGAAGGAAATCGCCTACGCGGATCGGAATCCTCACCTCACCAACCAAGGCAAACGGCGAGGCTGATTCAGATGACGAACTGTCCGGGCCCAGCCAATCCTCCCAGAAGCCACGCACCTGGCGAGCAGCGTCAAGCCGGTCACAGGTCTCGTCTCGCCGGCAGGCTTCGGAAGCTAGAAGCGTTCAGAGTAACGCCAGCCGCCGGTTCATCCGACAAGGCACGGCGACGCCAACGGCAAAGACCGTGCCGGTTGTGGACAAGGACGAAGCACCCGAGTTTGAAACACAGCAAGACGACAGCTTTGTATATCGCGCGAGGCCAAAGAAGAGAGCTAGTACACCAGGCCCTTTGCCGGCACAGCAACTGACATCACCCTTGAGCTCGGCTCCTGACGACATTTCGGACTTCACTTCCCTTGGATCGCACGAGCACGACGCACCGTCTGTTAACAATAACGTAGCGATGGAGCTCTCATCCGCAGCGGAAGAGAAGGTGGACCAGGCCAATGCTGAGATTCCATCGGCAGAACAGCCGCAGTCGCAGCAAACAGCCAGACTTCCACAAACCGATGACGAACAGGCTTTGGGCAACATGATCGACGATGTGAGCTTGAACAGCTCCGACAGCGAATTTGATGACGCAATTTCTGCTGATGAAGTCATACCATCCTCGCAACCGGCATTCGACTCGAGTACCCTGATTGAGTCTACATTTCTCGAATCTGCAAAGCGATATTCGAAACCTGAGAGGACCGCTGTACAGAGTATTGAGAATGATGACACTGTGTGTATGGACGAGAATGAGCCTGAACAAACATTGGAGGAAACTACAGCTTCGGAAAAGAACAAGGAATCAGATCAACCGCCAGAAACTCGCGATGGGCCAAGCGTGTCACTCCAGCCAACCGTGCTGGCGGTGGCAAACAAAGCAATCACCTCAGCAGCTGTTCAGGCACAAGAATGTGCCGCAGATGACGTTGTGGCGAAGTGCGACATGGAAAGCCATTTGACAACTAACCATTCAGGCCTTCCGGTCGTTGAAGCTTCCTCGTCCTTTGTTGAACGGCACGAGAGCGCTATAAGATCGGAGGAATGCTCAGAACGAGCTCGCTCGCCTGTGTCTTCAATAGAATCTCAGACCGAGCGGGCTGTCGAAGAAATGGCCGATTTGGATAGCCTGACGCAGTGTCACGAAACCCCCTCAGGCGGAACATTTCCTCCCTCACAGCAAAGTCCCTGGAATGGAGGAGATGTCACCCCAATGCAAGCGACTGTCAAGTCGCACACTTTCGTGGGCCTGCTTCAAGGCGGAAGCCCCGCTCCACGAGGTTCGCAACAGACCCCTTGGAAGGTCGATGAAGATCACACACGTCCAGCCCTCATAGACGCTGCATATCCAGACATGATACCAAAAGAGACCCCATCGACACCGTATTCTGGACTAGACCAACTGCGCAAGGCGGCCATGAGTGCGTTCAAAACGGCTGGTCTTAGCATTATGGGCTCTTTCACGCAAGAAGCACAGAACTTGACCGAGCGGGAGGCGGATTCGACAGTGTCGGGGGAGACAGGCAGCCTGCATACTGCGCCCTCGACGCCACTTCCGAGGCAGGAAGAACCGGTTCTATCGACTGTGCCATTCACTCTGAAGCCTTTCGCCGACTTCACGTCGCCTGAGCAGCCGGCCCCGGCGCAAGTCACGCAGCGCAAGGATTTCCGGCGGCCACTTGCCCAGCACGCAGAGCATCCTTCTAGACGCGAACCTCAACCCGTGGGGCAGCTCACCGCGTTCCAACAAGCGTGTTTCTTGGGGAATCCTGCCCAAGGAGTCTGCAGACGCCAGCAGCCGCGCCGACGAGACGCCTACCTCGGCGCGCCGGGCTGTGTCTCCGCCACCAGAACAGGCGCTCGACGACCTGCCGACGAGCCAGATTGACCCTTTCCACAAACACTTTTCCGTCGTCAAGAAGACGGTCAAAGGTCACAGGCATCGCATCCTGCCCACGGCATCACAGCAGGTACCGCGAAGTCCGTCGCCCATGGCCATGGCTGAGGCGTTTGTCATCGCAGATGAGCTCGGCCACCAGGGCCCAGGAACACGCACGGTAAGCAGCGATGGTGCGGAGCAGGACGATGATCACACGCCAGGTCACGTGGAGGACAATGGTTCGGACAGCGGCGATGATGTCGCTGACGTGCTGATGAATC